TGAAAACAGAAATAGGGTTCGGAGTCCTTACAGCGAGACAAACAAATCTTCTAACAGCGTCGTCGGACGAAAAGCGCTCCGTGGCCTCCAAAACCAAGCTTCCTTCTTCTCTTCCTTCTCTTTCTCTCTCTTGCCTTTTCTCTCTCTCCAAAATGAATCCAAAATATCTAAAATCCGATATTTATTAACACTGATCGTCCCGGACGATCCAAAATTCGTCCCGGTACGATTTGCTCTCTGGACAAATTTCGTACAGACGAAATCAATTATCGTAAGGACGATTTTCTCTCTGGACAATTTTCGTCCTGACGGATCGTCCCGACTGCTCCAGGTTCGTACAGACGAAAATGACAGATTTCTTCACAAATTTCTTCAGTTCGTCCAGTACTAAATCCAGTTCGTACAGACGAACTGCACTAAAAAAAATCAGCTTTTTGAAGGGTTTTACAGCACATCACGTAAAACCATTGAAAAGAGTGTCGCCTACGAGCTGAAGAATTTAATAGGTGACATGAGATGAACTCAAACATATAAGACACAACAAGCAATAAATATAAATGTCTGCGGGGTTGTAGGAGACCCATCATGTGTGCAAAATGTCATATATGCACAAAAATTTATATGAGTACAATGAATGTGAACACTTACGATCTGCCGAGGAAGACTACACCCAATGTATTGATCACAAGCAAAATGTCAAATAACTGTGACGAATGCAAATACTACAAACTGTCATAAAGGACCCGTCATGTCCTCAGAGTGCTACCCTCAAATAAATAAAGAAGAACTTCAACAAGGTCAAGCTCCTATGAGCCAAAAGCAGGAGATTCGTTAGTGCACTACAACCTATCTGCACAAATCATGCAAGTAGTGCACGACAATCTACCTGTGCAAAGCAGCGAATAACTCAATCCAGAAGCTGCTATGCCCCGCCACCAGATCTGCAACCTTCGTACAAGCAGACAGAAGGCGTCAACAAAGTCTGAAATAAATGCCCCTGCACGTGCACCGTAGCTTTTATACACATAGGTACACAAAGGGGTATTTTAAATCAATGAAATTCTAAAACACCCTCATGGGCCTCGGCGAGCGTGTTATTGGTACACACGTGACGCCTAGGGATGCTGCGCGGGTTAATAAGTAAATTCAAGTTCGAACCCGATCCTTCTATATGGATCAATAGGAGTCGACAAGGTTCGAACCAATAAAGAAGTATACGGTCGCAACGACAAGTATATTTGTTTTATTGCATTCATATTAAGACTTCAAGGTCTTTAACAATGAGAATTCACTCATAAGGGCACAAAGCCTACGAGAAACCCGATCTTCGGTCAACAGCTCGGCCGAGTCGACAAGTTTATCCATAAAATACAAATATTTTCAAGTGAAAATGATCTCATATACCCCGTTGATGGCCGTGTTGAATGTGAATCTCAACCGGAGGGGTTAATCTCTCAGATATTTCAAAATGACCGAAAATCCAAAACTCCACAAGTTCTAAAATTCAAGATATTTAAATTTGAAACCAATCATCAAAACACTTAAAGCAAAATCCATCCACCCTCCGCAACAGTTTGCCGGGGTGGACAAATTAAAATTTACTTCAGCTCACAAAGAGCCAAATGCCTAGTCGAAGATATCACTAGGATCCATTCTCAAACAATATCCTACCAGTAAGGTCGTGGTACGTGTCCTCTAAGCGGCAGTTTCGCCGCCAAATGACACTGCAGATAAACGGTTATGACCCGGGGACCTCTGAACTGAGTGGTTTTGCCACCAAATGGCACTACAAATACCGGTTATGATCAATGCCAATACGCTCCTTAATGGCATCAAATCATTGAGATATGAATCAATATGATATATCGATAGGGCACAAAACCCTCTGTTAGCTAAGATGGATTCAAATTTGTTCCCTTAGACAAATATTCACCCCAGGTCTACAAGGTCCCTTGAACGAAGCAACCATGGTTGCCGACAAGTATCCTTCTGTCAGCTTTGGTCAACTACCTCCTCTGACTAAGTAGATTAGGGACCACAATAGCCCGGGATGACGGAACCATAGGATCTTGATCGTGTCTATCATCCATTCCCCCACCATCCGCTTTAAGTGCAAGATGGTAAAGTTTCTATTTTAAATATCAAATTTTCCAATCTCCAAATTTTCCAAAAATTCTTAAATCCTAATCCCATTGCTGCTACTATATGCCAGATAACACGTATCTCTACGTGTATGATTGATGACTATCCTTAATCGAAAGTTCTCTCTCGTTATCGGGAGGGGGTAATTAACTATAGGGGCTTGCGCCTATAGGAAACCAGAACTCAGATCATAAAGTCCTCGCAAAATGAGGGCGAAATCTCTGGGTAGTGTCTTATCTACAAACCCATATTGCCTTCCAAAATTTACACCGGAACTTATTCCGTTAAAACTCCCTCGCCAAAGCAAAAGCACAAAAGCACAAATAACGCGTCGGTGAGGCCGGGGTCGAATTTTCGGAGCCCACAGTACCTAACGGTACCAAGCATGTACTGGTCGGTATCGAGCATATACTGCTCGGTACCGAGAGATACTAGCTCGGTACCGAGCGATACTGGCTCGGTACCGAGCATGTACCGCTCATTACTGAGCATATATTTGCTCGGTACCAAGCCAGTACCGCTCGGTACCGAGCATGTACCTCTCAGTACAGAGCATATACTTGCTCGGTACCGAGCGGTACTTAGCAATACCTAGCAGTACCGAGCATGTACTGAGCGGACGAATGAAAGAAAGCGGAATCAGGAGTTATTCAAGCTTTCGTTACTGCATGTCAAAGTCAAGGCCCACAACACCTCTCACATGCTCGTTCGACCTAATCGAGGCCTGAACGTTTCCTGCACTCACAACTTCGGCTTCATTTCCTGCTTTCGAAACCGTTATTGCTTTCGGCTTCGTTTCCTGTATCGTCTCCTTCCGACTTCGTCTCCTGCACTCACGGTTTCGTCTCCTTCCCTCACGGCTTCGTCTTTTTCCCTCACGGCTTTGCCTCCAGTTCGTCTTTCAATTCTCACAGGAAGCCCTAATCCTATACGCGAATACGTGAACACGAATCAGCTGCATCGTATTTACATATGTACTGAAGAAAAAATTTTGAAGCGGTGCCTCGTACGTCCTTGAGACATTACGCTCTAATGCGTACGCCTCGTGCGAAAAATATCGTAGGCTTCGCTGGATGGTTCGAGGCGTAAGTCTCGATACGCATGACTTCCGCCTCGACTTGAGGTGCGACTCAATGCGGACGCCTCGTTCGCTTTTTTAATGGTTGGTAGAGGTAGACCTAAAAAGTCTTGGTTAGAAAATATTAGAAATGATATTTTTTTATCAGATTTAAATGAGAATTTGACTCTTAATAGGACAATGGAGAAAAAGAATTCGTATACCTGCCCCCATGTAGTGGGATAAAGTCTTGTTGTTGTTGTATGATTGAGGTTGAAATATTTTGATCTATTGAAGTTAAATCTAAAAAAAAATATTTAAAATGCCTAAAAATAATTTCTTCTATTGGCTCCTCAAATAAGAATGGCATGATAGTTGATATATTTAAATATATTCTATTTGGACTTGCAACGCAGTGTCCTTTTTTCTAGTTATTATCTGATGTACATGCTGATCAAGTTTTGAAGAGATGAACCAATAAATTATAATTGGAAACTTAACAAATGAACGGGAGGGAATGTAGATAGCATGATGCTTCACTTCAATTTGTTCAATATTAAGTATGGACAACACGCATTTATTCTGGAGCAAAATAACTTTTCATCAGATAGTCCTAACGATGTCAGAGAAGGTTCAGGCGAAGCTTTTATATGGGCTATTAGTAGAACTTCTGGCGTAGCTTACAAATTCTAAATGTTTTGGATTTTTGTTTCCTCAGGCCTTATCTGCCGTAGATTTCTCTACGAATTGTTTCAGAGTTCGTTCTACAATGAGACTAACCTACAGAACTCCATATGCTGATGATGATGCTGAGAGTCAGGATGACATTAACAGAGAAAGAAAAGGAGATGCAATTGAGTTTAATCATATTAAGAAACAATGGGATGATGATTGTCCTTGGGCAGAGTGGTATTCTTCTGAGGATCCTATTAAAGGTATTACATTTTTTTTCTGCTTGAAACTCTTACTAACAGCCTTTTTTTACTCTATGCATCTATCTGATTATTGTTCACCATGTTTCAAGTACATGGCATCACTTTGACCCACTAAAAAGAAAATTACATGCATCCTTGGATGTTTTATTGTTGTAGAACTCAAGATAACTGCTAGGTCTAAAAGTTTGAAAAAAGCCCTTGCAATTTGACACTTGGGCACAAGCAATCATATTAATTTTGTAAAGTCCTAACCTCCAAGTTTTCGTCGTCGTAAACATATTTAAAATAAAAATGTTTGAATTGATTGGGGCTGACATGAGAATGAGGTTTGTTTTTGTTTTGTGTAAAGAGGGAGTGGATGCACTAACAACGATGTGAGGAGTGTGTAAGGCATACTTTGGTTTAATATAAAATTTTGGAGGCTTAAAATTAAGTTTTTTTACAAAATGTAATTACGTCGAGTATTTATATAGATTCAAATGTTAGGCTATTAAAAAATTATTGGCCATGGCCATAAAGTTGCACATGCCAAAATTAGAGTGTTAATGAATGTTTGGACTTGGATGGCTTGTTCACGCACAACAAAGGGCAATGATGCATAGATAATAATGTAAAAGAATTAAAAAGACAAATGGTAGTTTGACGAGTAATGGAAGAGAAGTTGTGCAAGAAGATTTATAAAAGATAGATTGACACCTCAAACAATCCTAAATTAGAAAGGAATGGAGAAAGATGATTTATAGGATTGACCTGATATAATTGGGACAAATTAATGATAGTGATGTGTTGAATATTTGAAAGTCGGTTAGGAAATTTATTTTAGAAAAAAATATATTTTTTTGGAAAGATAGATTATGATCTTATAACACTGGCGTTGCCAGGTCCTAAGTCCTGGATGAGAAAAGTGGAGGGTTGCGTTAGGTAGTTGACAACCAGCATAAAACTTGCCGAATATTAATGACATGAATCCTTTAAGAAATTGTGTTAATGCTAGGGCGTCCCCTGGAAGTGACACGTTGTATGACCTGAATACAATGACAAGTATGCAAGGGTCGTTGCATCGGCGCCTGGGTGCAGTGTTAAATAGGCAATGATTCCCACATCAAGGACGAACGTGGGCAAATAAGCTAGTCCATGATACTAAAAAAATATTAAATTAAAATTAAGATAGGAACATGGAATATAGGTTCCATTACACCAAAATTAATGGAATTAATATATATTATTATTATTGATAGGAAGTTAAATATTTTGTGCATTCAGGAAACTAAATGGGTTGGAGAAAAGGTTAGGGAAATGATAGTTTAGAATTTAAACTTTGGTATTCGGATAAGAGTTATACTAGAAATGGTGTTGGTGTTATTATAAATAAAAGTTTGAAGGATAATGTTATAAAAATTAATAGGATTTGAGATAAAATTATAGCTTTAAAGATTGTTATTGATGCTAAGATTATTAATATTATAAGTGATTATGCTCCTCAAGTAGGTATGGATATGAGGTCTAAATTAAATTTTTGGAATGAGTTGACTCCCCTTTGCCTACATCAAGATGTGCTTGGAATATCAAAGGGAAAAGTTCCTAATAGTAAAAATAGTTGGTGGTGGAATCCAAATGTGCAAGAAAAGATTAAAAATAAGAAGATTTGTTACAAAAATTGGAGGGTGTAAAAGCTGTTGGACATGATGATATTCTAATAGAGGTGTGGAAGTGCTTAGGAGAAGAAGGAATTTCTTGGCTTACTAAACTTTTTAATTCTTTTTTGAAAACTAAAAAGATGCCAGATGAGTGGAGAATGAGTGTGTTAATTCATATTTTTAAGAATAAAGGTAATGCACAAGATTGTGCGAATTATAGAGGAATTAAGTTAATGTATCATACTTTAAAATTATGGGAGCGAGTTATGGAGCATAGGTTGCGGCGTGATACTAATGTTTTTCAAAATCAATTTGGATTCATGCCGGGTAGGTCGACTATGGAAGTCATACATTTATTAAGTGGTTTGATGGAGAAATATAGAAAAAATAAGGAGGATCTACATATGATATTTATTGATTTAGAAAAAGCATATGATAAAGTTCCAAGAGAAGTGCTATGGAGAGTTCTTGATAAGAAAGGAGTTAATAACGCTTATATTCAAATCATTAAAGATATGTATGCAGGAGCTATTACTTGTGTTCAAACACAAGGTGGTTTGACCAAGTATTTCCCTATTTCAGTTGGGTTATATCAAGGATCAACCTTAAGCCCATATCTTTTTGCTTTAGCCATGGATGTTCTCACTAAACATTTGCAAGAGGATATACCTTGGTGTATTTGCTGATGATATTCTTCTTGTTGATTAGACTAGAGTGGGAGTTGAGGGTAAACTTGAATTATGGAGGTCAACCTTAGAGTCTAAAGGTTTTTGCTTGAGTAGATCTAAAACGGAATATATGGAGTGCAATTTTAGTAGTAATAGACCTAGTGAGGGGATTGTAACTTTGAGCGATCAAGTCATTAATAAGAGTACATGTTTTAGATATTTTGGATATATTGTTCAGAGTGATGGTGAAATAGATAGGGATATTATCTGCAGAATTCAAGTTGGATGGTTGAAGTGGAGGAATGCATCGGGCTTGTTATGTGATAGAAATGTACCCCTCAAACTTAAGGGAAAATTCTATAAGATGGTAGTGAGGCCTGCAATGCTTTATGGTGCCGAATGTTGGCCATTAAAAGAGAAGCATAATACTAAGTTAAACACCGGATCTGAAAATGTTGTTAAGAAAAGGAACCAGGCAATCGAAGATAATGAGAAGTCAGATCTGGAGGAGGTGCGAGAATGCGATTCAGGTGAATTGGGAAGGTGTGATGAAGTTACTGATGAAATGCCTAATCGAAGTAATCAAGAAATTCATCAGAATGTTTGGCTAAAGAACAAAAATATCAGGGTGGTGGATTTGGATTTCGGCAACTGCTTAGCTGAAGATGGAAGGTCTATCAAGCTTAATGTGGAAAAAGTTATGGAGAATTCAAAAAAAAAACTTGATAAGTCATTGGTAGTAAAATTTTTTTGTGGTGATGTTACTTTTGCTTCAATAAGCTATGAATTGAGGAGACAGTGGAGTCAATATGGAAAATTCCATCTTACGGTGCTTGGGAAGGGATGGATTCTTTGCTCGTTCTTTGTACCTGAACATATGGAAGCAGTGCTAACCAATGGTCCCTGGTTTGTTAATGGGAACATTGTGGGGATTGAAAAATGGACTCAAAGGTTTGATCCGAATTCACTTAAAAGGGCTATATGCTCCTATTTGGATTAGATTGCCCAACCTACCGCTGCATTGTTGGGATGAGATAAACATTTGCCGTATTGCTTCTATGGTGGGTAAGCCTTTTTTAATTGACGGCAATATGTTCCAGTGGTCCAGAAGAGAATTTGGGGGGGTTTGCGTCCGGATAGATTTGGATGCTAAACTACCAACTGGTGTTTGGGTTGAAGATGATGAAGACAAATTCTTCTAGAGAATTGAATATGAAAGACTGCCAAATCTGTGTTTTGAATGCGGGAAAATTGGTCACGGAAAGAATGAATGTGCCTTAGTTGGAATGGAAAACAGGTCCAATTCTTCAAAGCCTGTTAATTCAAATGATAGTAATTTGGTTAGAAATGATAATGCTGAAGGTAATCAAAAACTGGGCGGAAAAGAATTGATTGATAAAGAAAATTATGGACCATGGTTGATGGTGAGGTATGGAAAGAAAAAAACTAACAACAACTTGGCCAGAAGGCCATCATCTCGGATGGGAAGTAAGAGCAACTGGGTGCCTTTGAAACAGGACAACAAAATTGTTGGAAACAAAGAAGACAATCCAGTTGGAGAGCAGAATCCAGTGGAAGAAATTTTGGCAGGAAGTTCATCTGAAGTCTTTGTAGAGGGAAACATCAGAGCTCAAGAAGTTGTGAAGCCAGTGATTGTTGATAACAGTTTCTGTGCACTTGTTGATCTGGAGGAAGGAGAGTTTGTTCTTAACCCAAATGATGTTTCAACTGAAAATGAAATTCATTCTAGTGTTGTTAACAAAGAAACTGTAAAAACTTCATGTGGGGATGATATAGAAGAATCTGGTACAGCTACTGGTGAAAAGGTGACATCTGTAAGTGAAGGGAAGGTTGATGCTCCTCTTTCCACTAAGAAAAAAATACCAAAGCAGTTGAGGGAATTGGGACCAATTAACTCTTCAACAAGAAGCAGAAGATTGAAGATTGAAGGGAAAGGTAATTCGGGGGTTAATCCCCCTAATCTCTTTTAATGCATTCCATAGCTTTTTGGAATTGTAGAGGAGCAAGGAAAAGGAGTGCTTCTCTATATCTTAGAGAATTTGTTAAAAATAATGGAGCTTTATTCTTGGGTTTGGTAGAAACCAAACTAGCTGAAGTTGATAGATGTGAAATCAATGAAATGATAGGCATGGATTGGGACTTTTTCTATGTTCCATCATCAGGGCTTTCTGGTGGCTTGTTAATTCTTTGGAATTCTACTCTTGTTGAGTTTTCGGTGGTAGACTCTTCTTCTCAAATTGTGATTGGAGATCTAAAAATATTCAATAATGGATTGTGGAGGGTGGCCACGGTGTATGGTAGTAGAGAAGTTCAAAAGAGAAGAGATCTATGGGATATGCTAGACAAGTATTCCATTAGAGAACTACCTATGGCAATAGGTGGTGATTTTAACTGTTTAATGGACAAAGAGGATAAAGTTGGTGGTAGAAGGTTCACTTTCTTCCAAGGATCTAAGGAGATGAAGATGTGTTTGCTTAACATTGATTTACATGAAGTTGGGTTCATTGGGCCAAAATACACATGATGCAACAACAAATGTGGTGGTGCGAGGATACTAGAAAGATTGGATAGGTATTTTATCAACACCTCTGCATTGAGCTCACCTTTTCGTTTGGTAGTAAGGCATTTGGCTAGGATTGCCTCGGATCATTGTCCAATTATATTGCAATTTTAG